CAGGCACGCTGTGTAAAGATCTGCTTATGTCACTCCTGCTAAGCTTAAAGGTGACCTGCAAGTGGAAAAAGCATCCCTTCAGTTTATTTGTGATGTATGAGAGACACCTAGGATGCTATCTTCCTGTCACATCAGCCTGAAGATTTAGTTCCATCTTTCTCCAGTTTTTCTGAAAGAATAATGTGCAAGACACAACAACATAAGACAACAAATAAATAAACACAAAAATTCAGGCATGTAGAGCAAGCAGGGAAATACTCAAAGGTAGACAGGAAGCTAAAGGGCTCCATAAAGGCATTTCCATCTTTCATTCCAAATTTTGATAGGTTTCCGACAGGCACCGCTTGACAATACTACGAGTCACCTCTGTCACTGAATAGCTGCAGGCTCCAAATCACAGGTGCCACTAATGCATGCTGTGGCAGGAGAAGCTGTTATGGCTTCCCATTGCTTGCTCCCTTCCACTTCACTGCCGGAGATCATCACCTCCAGGCAGCAGCGAACCACCCATTCCTCAGCCCTGAGCTCAGGGAAACTGAACTCGATGGACTGATGGGGGATGCCAGTGCATCTCGTACCCATCTGCTTTTCCAACGCTGTTATTTGGAAGAAAGTCACAGATATCTCAGTCAGTGCAAGTTAACTGGTATGAGACCGCAAAGAACATGACATTCTACTGGGAGCCAAAACCCTTCTAAAAATTACACTTCGTCTCATTTACATTTGATGCATTTCCATGCATGAAGACTTCAGAAATCAGCACCGACATCCTTTTAGCATTGTTCATATTCTGTGTGAAAACTCCATTCCAACACTGCCTCACTGAAGGGAAGAAAAAAGGTAGCTCCAGTGTTTCTTAACACATACAATTCCTTTAGGACCAGTAAATTAAATGAAAAGTGCTAAACATCCAGTGTTAGTCCTTTAAGATCTGGCTTACTTATTTTTAAACAAATACATCTTGCTCGTTTACACCACACTCCACAACAATACAGCAGAAATAAACAACAATCCACCCCCAAAATCTCAGATGGTTGTTACATCAACGTAATTGGGTGAAGTGAAGTGAGCTGAACTTAGAAAGCGTAAGTGAAAAATCCTGGGAGTTTCTCACACTTCCTCCTCAAGGAAGAATTGCTGCTTAGCACCTTAAAAACCTAGCTCTGCTGAAGAAGCCTTCCTCTATTCAGGGTTATGTCAGAGCTACCAGTCTGTCACCTAAATTTCTTTGCTCCCATCACTGGCCAACAGCAGCAGCACATTCCGTGAGACCCTAAATAATAATAAGAGTTGTTAGCTAGAGAATAACACAGCTTATAACTTGCCTTTGTTTCACCAAAACTACTGTAAAGATCAGAGATCTGTTTTCCATTTAAGGTTAATTTGACAAAAAAGCCACACGCTTCCTTTTTCCCCTGAGCACCCAGCAGCATGCACCCTCACTTTCAAAAGAAATCATGTAGAAAACAAGATTCACAAGACTTGGCAATTGGTTGCTGACTACAGTCACAGGAATTAGAGTATTTGAGAGCCTCATCTTGTAACTTGTGGAAACAGGAGACAAGAACATGCTCCTGGTATCAGATACCCTCCTTACCTTACGTGTTGGCAATATCTGCTCCAGAAGCAAATAGCCAAAACCTACAAAGAGTTGGTGGGTCAGAGTGGTTCCCTTTAATTTGTCAACTCCAACTCTCCCATTCCTGCCCTGCCTTTTTGTATTTTTGTGTTTTTTGATTTGTTTTCAGTTGTTTTTCTTAAAAAATGTTGTTTTTCAGCTTTTGAAAGGATTGGAGTGCTTGAGAAAATTAAATGCTTAAACCAGCACTTCAAGTTCTACCTCCTTGTATATGCCTTAGTCAATGTATGGATTCTGGCAAACCATTTGGGTTTCAGGGTGAAACTCCTAACTCTACAAATCTTATCTGTATTGTTGGAGACAACAGAAATTTTACAGCAGCTGCACAACAGTGGAGTGCAGCAAGGGGCAGAAGAGGAATGAAAACACGAGAAACTCCACATTATTTTTTTTTACCACCACCATTGTTACCTTTATATTCTGCATATCTATTGCCAGATTCCTTTGGAGCCTATACACAATTTTTTTTTTTTTTAATCTTTTCACATTCATCACTTATTATTTTGTAACTCTACTCCTGGCAACATAAAAGCGCTTTTCTTAAAAGTCATTGAAGAAAAAAAAAAATGGGAAGACATCTCCAAGCTGTATTGTCAATAATGAAAACTTAACAGTAAATCCACTTTCTTTTAAACATGCTGACAATTTCATGGCTTATCAATGGTATCGAGCTGAATTACCTGCCTGTAGCAGATCACACCAAGGAACAATAAATTAACCTAATGAGACACACGAATGATCACCTAGACTTGCTTCTACTACAACTTCAGTTTTTAATACATTTCCTCAGGTCAGGTTTATGCTCTTTTTGGTACAACCAGTATTAGATATTATACCAAAAGAGCAGGGTTGTGTTTTTTTCCCTCCACGTGATGGGAAGCAACTTTAACTCTGCAGATTTCCAGTGCACTTGCAGCATGCTAGCTGCACCAGCCAGAAGCCCAAGTCTTGTTTTTAGTGCTTGAACATTTAGGCTACATTCTGAACATCTCCAAAACCTCCATAGTTATAATACAGAAACAGTACAGGGAGATTTGGAAGAAGGAAAATCAAGTCACTACAGCTTAACCACTTCCCCAGCTAGCAGTTATAAGCAGTTGGTTTTCCTTCAATTACCAGAAATCTTCAACCTTAAAAATCCAGAGCAAGCAAAACTACTCTATTACACTAAAGCTCTAAGCAAAGACTTAGGATTTATTTTCTTTCCTTCAAGCACCGCTCAAAAAACTCATCCTCCCAGCTTTTTATTTCATCCCTAATTACGACAAAAATTAATGCTGTGGTAAGTACTTCTCGATTGAACCGCTTCTTTGTAGTTTTCTTCTAGCCTCTTCCCAAATGTTATCAACTATTTGCAAACACCCTTGGCAGATGTTGCTCCTTAGCTGCTAGTTTCCCTTGTCTGCAGCTCAAACAGAAAAGACATCATTTGGGAGCTTCAGAACATATACTATTATTCCCCCTCTACTCAACAAAATAACTCCTCGTATCTGAAACAGCCATATTATAATCAGAAATGCTCAAGCAGAGAAAAGAAAGGGAAGATTCCCTAATGGAGCACGTGTCCCAGTTGAAAACTGGAACTATAAAAAGAGATGCATTTGACAGCCACTTCTAAAAATCATTACGTTGCACACTTATTATTTCTCACAAGAAACCACTGTAAAGAAGGATTGCTCCTCAATTTAGAGGACACAAACTGCAAGGCCTGCTTTTCTAACAGCAATTTGATATTTGAAGGTCATTCCTGCTCTGCAGTGCTCTTTGGTACCTTACAAGCTGCCTGCACCACCCTTCTCCGTGCTCACACCAGTCCCTGCACTGCAGCGCTGGACATGGCTCCCTCTCTGCTTTTCATTTCATTCCCAGCAGAGACAAGCAGACTGCATGATAAAATGTCATCAAGTAATCAAACAACTAAATACACTTGGAGAAAAAGTCCTTAATAACAGCAATAATCTTAAGGGATTCCTAGACTGCTCTAGTAACCCGTGCTTGCTGTTAGAATGGCAATAGCAAGCTTGCCTCCTATGCAGTCCATGAAACTGTGACGTAGCAGGGAACAATGCAGAAAACAAACATCAGGAAGAAAGTCAGGAGCAGGGGTTTCAAGAAACAGAACTTCTTTTCCTGGAAGAGAAAGAAAGACATAAAGTGTTCATTTTTTCCTTGAGGAATATAAACATGCCACACCCATAACTCAAGCTCTGAATCCGCTGGTGGCAAATGTGTGCAGAAAGGGCAGAAAAATACCATCTCCTCAATGTAAATAACACCAGAACAAGTAGAGATGGTCATAAACAAACTGCAAAAGCAGAGCTCCAATAGCTTTCAGATTCCAGAGCTAAGTTTCCCAATTCTCGTAGTTTCCTTTTAAAAAGCATGCAATTCAGTATTCCAGTAATTAAATCCAGCTGAGGGGAGTAATGGAAATCAAAACTCAACATATGAGTAGAGTAGGTATTTTCAGCCTCTCAGACATCTGTTCTCCATGTCCTGACACCATCTCAGATAAGCAATCTGTGAGAAACTGCACTGTATTTTTCCTGTACCAGCTGCTTTCTCTATTACTACTGACAGTTCCATTAAGCTTTCCAACTCCCTTGGTTGAGATACCTATCCCGCATCCCTTGCGTTCAATCTGTTCAAATGTCACTCATGAAAAATCAATTTTTAAAGCTGAAGGGGAACAAAATCCAAAAAGGCTTTGTGTCATTAGCCTCATCCCCGAACCATTTCTAATTTTTAGAAAATGCGACGTTTTCATGGCTGTTCTCTTCACTTGCAGATGGTTTTTGTTCTCTGCAGTTCACCTGCTGGAGCTCCTACTCCCCTACACTCCTCACCGCATCAAATGCGGGATCAGATAAAGAGGGAGGAATTGGGAGAGGAAGGAGGGGAGGTGGTTTCATACCATTTATCCGGTCCTACAGAAAATCTTCGCGTTGAGCTGCCAACCTCTTCGTTCAACGCAAGAAAGAGCAAGGCTGTACTTGGCATCCGCTCAGCCCTTTTCCTCAAGGCTTTAATTCTTCCATTTAAAAGCCAGCATAGAGAAAAGATCAGAACCCAAACCATCAGGCAAACAGCTGTACGCTGCTAGAGCTTGCTTAGAAGGTCTGAATACTTCCTGTGGCTCATCCCTCGCCTCAGGAACTCCCAGCAGAAGCTCTGTGCCCAGGAAGCACCCACCTGAGCCCCCACCAACTGCGGCTGCCATCTGATCCCTCGACGAGAGGGGACACATGGTGGGGACAGTGCCAACAGCCCTCCTACACTGACAGGAGCACGGTGTGCTAAAGGGAACGCTCAGCTCTGGGTTTGAACCATCTGCCAGCTGCTAGCCCAAAGCATTGCAAAGATTCAGGCTGCATTTCTGGATTTCTTTTGGCTGATAACATTTGAAGTGCCGCACTGAATTAATTAAGCTATGCCAAACCTGCACCCTATTCCTTCACCGCTGGGCCCGGGGGCTGTGAATTACTTCAATTTAGCTCAACAACTGACACCTGTCTGAGCTCCCAGGCACACGCGAGGCTGTAAAGGTTGAAAAAGCACCTGATTAGCAGAAAATCACAGAATGAAGCTTGTGATTTCAGCCTTTGACCCCTGGGAAGGATGGGGCAGCTGAAGGAGGCTGTAAAGGTAAGAATAGCAGTAACTTGCTATTTTCATTACATTTTTACTATCAAAACATAAGACTAGGGAGGCCAGAGGGGTTTGGAACTAGCAGCCCTGAGAGCAAGTTATTTAACCAAGAGAAGAACTGAGGAATTAAGAGTTTCTGCTATCCCAGTCTTTGCTTGTGCTTTTCCTGTGATTTTCTTCTCAGCACACTTTGTTTTAAGGACTGCCAAGTGTAAGCAATTCATCTGAACAATATTTTATTTTTTAAACAGCAGAAGAAACTTCCAAGTACCTCCAAACCTATTCCTAGTTTATTTTTAGACGGACTAGATTTCAAGTTGACAGATTTCCAATATTTTGTTGAAGCCATCTTTTTAACAAAAAGAGCCTGTCAAGAGGAAGATACCGACTGTACCGTGTCACAGTAACGCAGCCCGGCAGGGTTCAAAGCCTAACCACGTCCCATCGCTAGATAGCACAGCACACATCTTCAGTTAGCTGCCTTGAGTCAGCAAACTTTTATGGAGGTTGCATCGCAGTTCACTGACTCCTCTGCCAGACTTTCATAGTTCACCCTTGTTTTGCAATGCCTTGTCCTCAGCAGGAATCACTGCCGGGAGACAGCAACTTTCGGTGTTATTCCCTGGTACGGAGCTAAAAACATCAAGGAGGAAGAGACCTCCAAATGTACTAAACTTCCTGTAAACTGAAAATTAATGTTTCAATCTGAAGACCACAGCATCTTGTAATCAATGAGAGCCATTTGTGGATCTCAGTGTTACAGAAAAAAAAAAAGAAGGAAGGAAAACCTGTATTTTACACCTGGCTATGTTTTAATGAGGAAAAATGTGTTAATTAGGGATCAAGCACCTCTTCCTCAAACCTCAGTGGATTAAGTGCCACATTTGAGTCTTGAGTCTCTGATAAAGAACACAATATTTGATTATTATTTTTTTAAGAAGTGCAATCACTATAAAATAGGGTGATAAAGGTTGTTTTTTGTTTCTTTTTAGTAACAGTTGTGCTACAACTTGGCTTATTTTTACTGAGCAACATATTGCAATACTGAGAAGGATACAAGCTGACTTAATTTAATCTGTGTGTTAAAATTATTAATAACTTTAATATTGCCAACAAAACAGGCAATTAAAGCAGTTTTAAAACACTTTTTTTTTATCTGAAATGTGCTTGTCTTCGTCTAGATCAGAGTTACAATGCCCATGTAACCCTGGCGTATACAAGAATGTGGCTCCCTCGTTTTTTCTGATAACTCTCTCATGCTCATCCAGCTATTTTTGGCTTGCGGACCTACCCACATTACTCACGTAATTTACATGGGAGAAACAGTTTGAAAGACAGTTAAAAACAAACCCCGGAACACATAATGAGAGCTAATCACCACCTACGGAAGCAATAAACACCAAAATTTCAGAGGTAATTTCCAGGTGCAGAAAGGCATGCACATGATGCCAGGAGGCAGCGGTCCTCCTACCACTTCTTCATCCCTCCCTCGTTGCACACAGCACTCACACAACTCACCAAGGGTCTGTTCTCCAGCGCTGTTCCAGGCACAATTTATTGCAACCTGTTCCAAAAGATTACATGGGCTATCCGATACTTTTGAGCAAACGCTTCCCGAACCCATCTGTTTGGTCAGTAATTTTTGTCAAAGTTAAAAACAGGTATTTTATTCCACCAAATTCGGTCTGCGTGATTACTGTACTGTTTATAGCAGGTGTTATTTTTCACTTTCACAACAACAATTTATCATCTAGGTTCCCTGAACTGAACCTCATGAATGCTGGCATTTCTCCCAACAGCAGGGTTCATTTAAAATATTATATCACCGACAGAACCTGTTGATGCAGTGATATTTATTTCATGCTCATACACCAGAGGCTGAAAACTCAACTAGGATACACTAAATCCATTTCTGTAAGTTGCATATATATTTTTTATATATATTTTTAATATATATACTTACATAAAACCAAAAAAAAAAATGTTAGAGGCAACTCAAGAAGGTCTTGCTTTGGAAATTCTTAAGTCTTTCAGTCTTTCCTCTTCCCATCCGCTTGTTCTTCTTAGCTTTTGAGCTTTTTTTCTTTTTTCCTGCCCAATCTGTAGCCTACAAATCCGCAGTTTGAAATAATTACCATATCCAAGATCACGCAGCATTTTCTTTACACATCATATGGAATAAAGTAAGGCATATAAAGAACTTGCTTTCAAGTTCTCAGCTTGCTGGCTCGTTTCCATCTCTTCTCCATCCCAACTAGTTCAAACAAAGCTTTGCAGAAACCAGACGTTTCTCCCAAACTGCATCATCTTAGGAGAGATGGAACTCTGCAGCTTTCTAGACCAAGAGCTTGCACTGGCCTTGCCTTTACTCTTAGGACCATCAATTCAAGGACTAAAACGAGAAGTTAAAGTTTCTGTTTGGGTCTTTATCCTGACAGTTGATATGCAGCCACCTTCACAACCCAGCATCTTGTCAACACTGTTTCACAGAAACATATGCATAGGATCCACACAGTCCACCCAAGGGTGGTTTCACCAATATGTTGTGAGATATTCAGCGTATTAGCCATGATCCCCCTGGAGACAGTGTATTTTGATTTGCAAGTAACAATTATTTCTAAAGACTTTGTGCTACATTGCTGCTTTACACCTATTTCTAAAAACATAATTCTGTTATATGGACAACAATCCAGATCCTCATTTTTAAATCAAAAAGGAAGAAACAATACTTACGACCTTTAACGGGAAAGCAGTTAGCATCATCACATATGCTCCAACTCCCACATACCCAACGTGGTGTTTCAAAGGGCAGAGGTAAGTCTGGCACATTAATATATATCCAGGTGGGCACCGTCAGGAGCTTCCTCTGGCTGCTGTTCACACACTACCAGCCTGAAATGAGCTCTGCTACAGAAGGCGGTGGCGGAAAAGAAGCAAAAACAGAAAAATCCCCACTGTCCTACATGTTCTGCAACTTAGAAAAAAATAATTACTCTTTCTCATGTGCCATTCCTAAAGGAAATATTAAAATTAAGAAATCAAAGCAAATTATCTCAAGTTTCTTAGGCTTCATTCTGAATTCACATTATATGGTTTCTAGACCTTCTTTTTAATTTTTAAAAAAGGTGGTAAAGGTCTATCTTTGTACTGCCTTCAGTTCTATATCTATTTCCTTTTCTCCACTTTCTTCCCCTTCCATGGCTCTCCTACCCTCTATCAATCTTCTCCAGAAGCATTTACTCCTTTTCTAAATTTTTCCCACCACTCCACACCTCATCTTTCTTCCCCTATTCTATTGCCAAATTACCCTTTCCTTACACTTACATAATGAAATTATAAGAAGTTTGACACGTAACCCAACAGTCAAAAATCAAAGCCTACTAACCAGGTAAGACAAAACATACTGAATGGAAGGGGAAAAAAAAGCACACCTTATGGTGTGGAAGGGAAACCTTCCAGCTGAGAGATCTTTTTCCTCTTTTTGAGAGCAGGAGCTTCTATAAAAAGCTTGCTCTGATAAGGCACCAAAAAAACACCTCCAGGAGAGGTTTTTGTGCCAGTGCAGAATACCCAAATGCTTGCAGGAATGAATAATGCATTTTTTGCTTCTCTACCTTGCCTACATTTAGGTAACTTATTCATGATCCAGTTCATTTTCTTCCTCCTACGACCAGAATAAAAGCAGTACAAAAACCAGAATAAGACCTGACACGCCTCCTCCTCAATTCCCTGATGGCTTCAAATAATAGCAACAGACCATTGGCCATTTCCCCTCTCCCCACATTTTGTTACAGACATCAGGATTACAAGGAGCAGAATATCTAGTCTTGCCTTCACTAGCTTAAACTAGTTTCTTTTTATGAGGAAGGTTTTCTCCACGCTGTCAAGCTAGAAACACAGGCACGCACCCCTCTCCTACCAAGGCCAAACGCAGCACTCTGCCACCTGGTGCCACCGGGTATTTTCCCAGTGTACGTGTCCCTTTCCATAAAAGCAGCCTCCTAACTCAAAGATGCAGCAACTGATAAGAGTTTGCAAGTGGCACTGTGGGTCATAATTGCATAGATAAAATAAACACTGAAGCTTTGTCAACACAGAGCCCCAATTTCTATATACATAATTCCTTTGACTTTTAACTATACTAGTTAAAAATACTCTAGACAATTCGTCTCATTACAATTCTTACCTGTGCCACAACTCCCTTCTCAAGCAAGTCAAATTAACAGCATTGACTTGCTTTTAAAAAAACTCCTTGGGAACCTGATGAAAGGCACGCTGTAAGGCTCAGCTCTTAATACCACAACAGGTAATCTCTGAAAAGCCATGCAGCTGAAGCAAAGCCACCCTCCGGGTCAGGGAGAACTACATACTTGCTATACGAACTGGTAGTAATAACTTATTCAAAACCATTCAAAAAAAAAAAAAGTATTAACTTAGGGATTCAACCTACAACTATCCAAGCGATAGCCTGTGAGGTCTGTTTAGTCAAATACCTTGAGGCACCTTAAAATGCTGTGAAATGCCCCAAGTGTGTGTGCTGGACTAAGAGATGCACGGTAGCAACTGCACTTAGCCTGTAGGAGGGCCCTGAAACCAAGCACCAAGCATACAGCAGTTAGTAACACATATCAGGGGAGTGCCAGCTTTTATTCTGAAGAACTGCACTCCAAATTGTGAGCTGCAATTTTGTAAGAAAGATACTGCCAGCAAAAATGTTAGATTTCCCAAAGCATATCGTGAATGATTCACAAATACGAAGGTTCATCAATACAGACACTCGGTGCATCCAGCTCCTGTCCACAAAAAACAGTGGGAAAGTTCCCAAACCAAAGGAAACAACACTGTCAAAACTGTTTTAGAAGGATAAATGGGACAGACAGACTAGTTAATTTTAGGCCTTTGAGCCATTCAATAAGATAACACAAGAGCAGATACAGTCCCTTTTTTAACAGGCAAAGACATCTGAGCAAAGTAACTAACACCAACCACTATGCATGTACCAAAACCAAATTGCCTTCAGAAAGCCTGCTATGGTTTTGATCTCACAAGTTTGCTCCGTAATATTAGCGGTGTTGAAGCAATGCAGGCAGCACTGAACCTAAGCACAATACAAAAAGGAACATGAGACATTAAATGCATTGGAAAACAGTTAAAGGATGTAGCCAGCCTCAAAATATGAGGCTGAATGAGGATGTTTGAGTGAGTGTCTTTCTAATGGGGTTCCTTGCCAATCAGTTCTTGGCTTTCAAGTGTTTAGCAATGACCTAGATGAAGAAAAAAAATCCATAAAGATTGCAGTTGATGTAAAAAAAAAAAAGCTATCTTCAGCAAATAACATGCATTCCAATACTGTCCAAATAAAATCTTCAATCTAGTGATAATAAAGCCTTGATTACAAGATATTAGATTTACCTGCACTGACTCAAAAACACAGTTGTTTTTTTTTCAAGCAATTCTCCAAACTAATAATCAGTTTCACCAGCTGTATTTTTTAAATGATTGCCTTCTGTAAACAAGAAATTAACTATTATTTTTCTCCCACAAAAATAAGGCATGCACAAGCCACAATAGAGGCTAAGACTTATCATAAGGGATATGGAAAAAAAGTGCTAACCCTGGAGAGAGCATACTGTAGGAATACAGCTCCCACGGCATCCCTTCATCACCTTCCTATGCAAAAAAAGGAGAGTTAAGTGTTAAGTTTTCATTTTGGTGCTTCTGGCACAGTACTACCAAGATGAGTATGTTACTGGACATCAGGAGGAAAAGGTAAGCCACAGCTAACCGCACAAAGTTGTGTCCATCCTTGAAGAAAAACACTGACATATCCAATAATAATCATAATGATCATAAATGATTAAAATTGCAGGGAAGCCTGACTTGCAGCAAGAAAACTCCATTGGTTTAGATACCAAGAGACACACAAAAGATAACCTAACCAGTCCACCAAGACTGCACAAGGAAATTAAATTTGATAAGAGGTTATCTTCAGTCTCATACACAGTATGTGCAACAAGGATTCAGCAAAACATCAAGGCTGACATATATTAAGAAAAACAGACAATTTTTTAAGCAGTGAGTAGTTAAAGATGGTTCCAATGATGAAGAATTGTCTACCGCTGGAAGATAAATTCTCAGAAAGATAACCAGTGCAAAACACAAGTCTAGGTGGAATAGGAACCAAGACAAATTCCATGGCTTGTGCTGTGTAGCTGGGTAGTTAAGGACCTATATTTCTCAACTATAATTTACCTACTAATTAAATGCCATTTTCGAAAGCAAAGTACAGTAGCATTTAGACAATGTCTACTGCAACATTTTTACATGTTAAATACTAAGCAAGCTTTGCCTCCTTGGATTGGGTTCTAAACTGTGCTCAAATATCTCAGTAGTGTACCCCAAAAGCCTGTAAGAGCTAAAGCAAAGTGACAGGACTTGTGTAAAGAA